CGATACCTACTACATATTTTATTCGCACTCTAAATCAAAAATTAGTACTGAAATCAGACCGACTTACTAAATAACAATCAATCACTAAACAATAAATTCTTGCTAGTAGATTGTAGATTATCAGCCATTCAGCTTTTATCCATTGAGCGTTATGTCGGCAATCACTCAAATTTGCTATCTTACTCTTTTGTTTTCACTTTTATGTTTTGTTTTTTGTTTTTTACACATGCATTACAACATCGAACAGGTTATGTTACCTACGCTTAACTTGTTTTTAAGCGATACTACAATTGGTAGTTAAATAAAATTGAAATTTTTATTGTTGTGAGTATATGTACATATGTATGTATGTACATTGGTGAATGAGTTTGCATGAAAATTGACACCACCAACACAGCAGAAATAAACATCGCGCCATCAACATCAGCAAACAGTGGCATCCATGTTGACGCAGAAACACAAATGTAGTTATTTTGATTTCAAACTGGCTTAGCACTGCTGCTGCTCCCCCATTTTATAAAACAACGTTTTCATACATTAGTTGACTTCTTTTTTTTATTCAACGCAAAATCTCGTAAAAGTGATTTGACCATAATTGTTAAATATTTTATTTTGGATTTGGTGTTTGCAATATTTTACATTATATGTACCCATCTTTGGGCTTCGCGAGTGTTTTTAAAACAAATTTGGTTGTTTTGTTTTTTTTTTTTTATATGAAATGAAATATATTATAACCTAGTTGACCTTAAAAAATGTCATGCAGCTTCAAAACAATAACAAATGCAAAATAAACAAAGAGCACAAATAATGTTGTTGTTAAAAAAGACACTACACAATAAAAGTGACCAAAAGGGTAAGTATAATATAATATTTAATAAAAGAAGAAATAAGTATTTGGTTTGTAATATAAAAATTTGGAACACTAAAGCCATTATACATATACATATTTTTTTTTTTAACGAAACTGGAGTCCAAAATTCATAACTTTTTAATTTAATGTGAATTACAAACAAAGCTCAATTAAAAATTTCCAGCAAAAACAACAAGAATCATCATCACAGCTCCAAAGTCTGTAAAAATCTTTGAGTTGAAGAAAAAAAAAACATATCAAAGGCGCGCCCATTGCAAACATGCGTATCTATATAGAGCACACAATTGTACTGTTGGAAAAATTATGAAAAAGGAAGAGCAATTGCGCACAGTACGGCACGCACTTTCCCTTAATCGCCAGGCTTCGTATGCTAGCAGCCTCCTTTGAGGTATATCTTGCCGCCCATTTAGCCCACTTAACAATTGTTGTTGATATCGCCGATGCGCGTATGTTGCACGAAAGCGTAATAGCTAAAGCAAAGAACCTACAGAAAACATTTTCGTTAAATCCACTACGAACGAAGTTGTCGCCCGCCATCACATCCTGTTAGAAGCTATAATATTGTTGTTACTGTAGTGGATGCGCCATTCTAACACTTCACTTTTTACACTTCTCCCTGATTCATGCATAGGTACATGCTGCCTAGCACTCGGTAGGTACCACTGTGACACTGATGAATGAGTCCCGATGTTGGGCCATCGTCAGCCACAGCGTACGCACGTACATATGTATGTACATACGTTACTTGGAACGAGTTGTGCCGACAGACGTGGAAGATAAAATGATTACTTCACAGCTGTCATAAATGTACTTCCAAATATCCTGTTTCCGGTAGCTATTCCAACTTATAGCTGGTTCCTTGGTTACACCTTTTTTGCCCCTGAAGCGAATTGCGAAAAGTATTAGTGGCTACGCAATAAGTATGACATGTAGAAACCACCAACCACGTCCCACTGCCGCACTGTGGTACTACAGCACTTCCTTTGGCTTCACTATAATTGCGTGCACAACACATTAAAAAAAAAAAAGAGGCGGTGGCTGCTGGACCGTGCCAGCCCTGGAGGCTTCTCGATCATTTCCACGCGCTAAAATTATGAAACGAAGGCAAGTTGGGTTGACAGATTAACATGGCGTTCGTTAGTTAAAACAACCAATACTGGTAATGGGTTGGGGGGCTCCATTAACCATCATAAAATACCTACACGTCTGCAATTTCTTAGTTTTTCAATGGACAGTTTACTTTGTGGTACCTACCTTATTGCTTATT